CCCTGCCTGGCTAATTTTTAAATTTTTTTTTGGCAAAGAGCGGGGGGATCTCACTATGTTGCCCACAATGTCATGAGTTTTATATCAAAGTTGCTTATTAGATCTACAATATCTGCATATTTAAGAAAGTTGAGAGATCCTCTGAGCAGGAGACAAACCGATGATTCCTAGATTGCTGAAATGTAAGCTTTCTCCACGTATATTCATAAAGTATAGCATCATTTTAGCTTTTAGATCTTAGGCAAAGCTTATTAACCTTGCAGTTTCTCAGTTTTTAGTTTGTAAAACAGATGTAATAAAAGTACCTACACTTCAGTCCTGCTTGTGAGGATTCAATCTACTGAACACCTACTATATGCTAAGGACACAGTGATGAATGAAGCACTCCTCAAGCACAGTAAACACACAATTATGTATGGCTGTTGTTATCTTGGAAATGTCAGATATAGCTCACAGAATAGGACTCTGTGCAAGCTAAATTTATACAGACATCTTAACATTCTCTGTACATTTAAAAATTGTTGGCAAAAGAGGAAACTACAGGAGATTTATAAACAGGATTCTTTCCATACTCCAGATTCTTGTCTTCTGAAAGGCACTAATGATGCAGGTTGACTTTAGTAGGCCTTGAGCTATCTTTATATCCTTCATCTCATAAAACTCTGGAATTTCAACCAAATACTTTTACAAACATAGTTAACCAAAGAGGAATTTCCAATGGATTTTAGAAAACAGTTTTTCATTACAGAAGAGATTTGAATATGACTCATCAGTTTACATTACAAATTCTCTTTGCATACATGTATCTGGTAATTTGGCAAAAAACAGGTCTAGGTGTGTGACTACGGGAATATGTAAAGTAAAAGGGCAAGTTTCTTTCCTTTTTTTTTTGTTTGGGGGGAAACAGTCTTACTCTGTCACTTAGGCTGGAGTGCAGTGGTGTGATCTTGGCTCACTGAAATCTCTGCGTCCTGTGTTCAAGCAATTCTCATGCTTCAACCTTTCCAGTAGCTGGAATTACAGGTGTGCGCTAGCACACTCGGCTAACTTTTGTATTTTTAGTAGAGACAGGGTTTTGCCATGTTGACTAGGCTGGCCTCAAACTTGTGGCTTCAAGTGATCTGCTTACCTCGGACTCCTAAAGTGCTGGGATTACAGGCATAAGCCGCCATGCCCAGACTTGGAAGTTTCTCTATATCGTCAATTTATAAAAGGTTAGAGCATCTATAGTTACTGAGGGTTTCAGAAATCCTCTGTGAACAAGCAGAAAGTCTAGTAGGTGGGAAAATGAAAATGGCAAAGAAAGATAGAGGATAGTATTGCCAGAAGGTATAAGCCTTAAAGAAGCCAAAGATACGTACATAAATAGGGTTGAGTCATGATTTAAAAGCAGCCATGGCCTGTGAGAAAGAGGCTGATATCCCCTAATTCTGGGTCATAGAAGATGAGCAGCAAGCATTTGATAGAGCTGCAGAGGAAAGAAATGCTCTGTGGAGGCCTAGATTTCAAGACAGACCTACAGGATGTACAGTTCCAGCAACATGGGGTCAGAATGACTCTGCTAACATGTGAATTCTCATGAAGTTTCTGGGGTGGTGGAAGGACTATGAGCCTCGCCACAAGGAGTCAGCAGAGCCCAGGCTTGACTGGGCTGTGAGTGAATACTATACCAGGTGTGTAGGCTACAAAGACCAGCATCCAAAACCTTCAGCATGTAATTGCAACAAAAATCATATATATTGGTAGATTTGGAGAAGAGGACCGCCTTCTCTGAAGCTGGTCACAGCCTAATCTTATTTTATTTTATTTTTTGAGATGGGCTCTCATTATGTTGCCCAGGCTTATATTATATATATATATATTTGGAGATGGAGTCCCACTCTGTTGCCAGAATGGAGTGCAGTGGCACGATCTTGGCTCACTGCAACCTCTGCTTCCTGGGTTCAAGCAATTCTCCTGCCTCAGCCTCCCAAGTAGCTGGGACTACTGGCATGTGCCACCATGCCCAGCTAATTTTTGTATTTTTAGTAGAGACAGGGTTTCATCATATTGGCCAAGATGGTCTCGGTCTCTTGACCTCATCATCCACCTGCCTTGGCTTCCCAAAGTGCTGGGATTACAGGTGTGAGCCACCACACCTGGTCTCCCAGGCTGATTTTAAACTCCAGCGATCAAGTGATCCTCCTGCCTTGGCCTCCTGAACAGCTGATATTACAGGAGCATACTATGATTTTAACCCTATTAGAGGCCAAAATTAACAAGTTAAGAGGAATGGCCTAAAGAAGTAACTCACAGATGATTATATAACCTTTAATAAACAATTTTTAACTGCTCTGCAGAACTGTTTCTTGAATTTAAAAACTGCCTATGATCATGTCTCACTCCCTTCTGTTATCACAGGGAAATAAGACCATATTTGTAAGAAAACAGTAAAAACAGAACAAAACAAAAAAAAACAGATGTTTAAATTAAAGATAACTGCCAAACTAGAAAATCTTGTTAAGAAAATTATAACTGACAACTTGGGAGGCTGAGGCAGGCAGATCACAAGGTGAGGAGATCAAGACCATCCTGGCTAACATGGTGAAATCCCATCTCTACTGAAAATACAAAAAATTAGCGGGTCGTGGTGGCATACACCTGTAGTCCCAGCTACACAGGAGGCTGAGGCAAGAGAATCGCTTAATCTGGGAGGTGGAGGTTACAGTGAGCTGAGATCTTGCCAGTGCATCCCATCCTAAATGACAAGTGAGACTCCGTCTCAAAAAAAAAAAAAAAAAAGACAATTATAATTGAGAACTTAATGCAGACAACAACATAATGCTAGGACAATTCAGTATTTATCATTTTTAAGACTTGGTAAACATTGAAAAATAAGATTAAAGTACTTTGGAATAAAATGACAACTTCTATCTCTATATCTAGCCTTGAGAACAGAGTATTCAAATTAATTAACCATATACCACCTTATTAATAACCAAAGAAATATAAATTAAAACAATAAAATACCATTTTTTGGTCTGATTAGCCAAGCATTTTAAAGACTGATAATACTTAATGTTGATGAGTGCAGTGCTCATTTCTCTTAACACTACTGGTAGGTGAATACAATGGTACAGTCTTTTAGAAGAGCAATTTGACAATACTTACCCAGACCTAAGTGTACATGTCTTCTAATTTCACAATTCCATTTATAGAATATGGCTAACCAAAACATTATTAAATGCACCACTGTTATTTACAAAATGGATAACAATTTAAGTGTAAATTTACTGTTGAAATTACCATCAATAACGGTCATATTATTTACATAAGAAACACATATATATACCAAACACTCATACTCCAATCTGTTTTAATCTGAAATTCATTTCAACAGAAAGCCACACTAATTTATTGAGCAAAAGATTGTAGGTGTATTTCAGACATACATTAAAAACGGCTAGCGGTATATTTCAATATAAATAAAATCAGAAAAATGTTTCTGCTTTCGTATCAGGTCTCTGGGGGAGTACATATTAAAGGGAAAACTTCTATTATTTTAAAAAAATAGATAAGCAATGCTTGAACAAAGAGAATAAGAGCTACATCTTTCATAAATACCCCTTAAACCAATTAGGATTGCCACTTATGTATAAGGATGAAAAATGACTTTGTACTGATTAGCTGTTAATATAAAATAAACATATGCTACTATATAGTAAGAAATGCAATTAAGAGCTAAAATGACAGACACTTAATGAGACATTCATTAGGAGTTAGGGTAAACTGAATATAGAAAACTACATATTCCATATCAAAGCTGTATTGACTTATTTCAATAGCCTGCTGATCTTTGAAACTGTGACTAAACTCCATACACATTCACAACAATACAATGATGTCCAAAACAGCATTTTTAATATGCTGCAAATTAAAGTAATGGCTGCCTTGTACTTTCCTTAGACTATTATACCAGCAAAACCATTAATAAGAATCAGGCTGGGTGCGGTGGTTCACATTTTGTAATCTCAGTACTTTGGGAGGCCAAGGTAGGTGGATCACCTGAGGAGTTTGAGACCAGCCTGATAATGGTGAAACTGCATCTCTACTAAAAATTCAAAAATCAGCTGGGCATGGTGGTGGGCGCCTGTAATCCCATCTACTCGGAAGGCTGAGGCAGGAGAATTGCTTGAACCTGGTAGGCAGAGGTTGCAGTGGGCTGAGATCGTGCCATTGCACTCCAGCCTGGGTGACAGCGAGACTCTGTCTCAAAAAAAAAAGGAAGCATCAAAACAGGCTTCCTAGAAACATTTGTATATAACTGCTAATTGTGCATTTATTTTCATTTAAATATGCATAAACATGTCAGGTGCAGTGGCTCATGCCTGTAATTCCAGCACTTAAGGAGGCCGAGGCAAGCACATCACTTGAAGTCGAGAGTTCAAGACCAGCCTAGCCAACATGTTGAAACCCCATCTCTACTAAATATACAAAAGTTAGCCAGGCATGTTGGCGTGCATCTGTAGTCCCAGCTACTCTGGAGGCTGAGGCAGGAGAATCGCTTGAACCTGGGAGGCAGAGGATACAGTGAGCTCAGATTGCACCACTGTACTCCAGCCTGGGCAACAGAGTGAGATTCCATCTCCATAAATAAATAAAATAAAAATAAATGTGCATAAATACCTACACAAATTTTCCATGCTATTTATCATATACCTCTTTAAATTCACACTTTACTTAGTGAGCGCATCAAAAAAGAGAGCTAGAATGGGCTTAAAATATTTGCTAATGCTATCTCTTGATGCTGTCTCCTGATTCAGTAGGCTCCTTACCCTTATATTTAGAGCACTGCCTTATATACATCTTCAGTGACAAAAGGGACATGACTATCATTCTATATAGCACAGAGTACACATTCTTTTAGGGATGCTGACTGATAGTTATAAACTTGCACATTAGTTATAAACTTGGACAGTGCCCCCAAAGCCTGACAAATTAGTTATATGCAGGATACTCACATCTGTATAGTGGCCTAGCATATGACATCGGTCACACTGTTTATCCCAGGAACGTCTGAAAATACATGAGTGGTCCAACATCTTAGGCACAGGACAGTATTCGCAAAGTGGGGCTGGACAGGCATACAGGAGGTGTCCTTTCTCAGAGCACAGGAAGCAGCTACGAACTTTCTATGTGGCAGAAAATCATAAAATCTCTTCAGTCTCAAAAGATAGAAGATTAATACTTCTTTTTCATTATAATCCCATAAAAAACTTTCTAATTTGAGATCCCAATAAAGGTTGAATCTTGAGCACAACTGTAAAATAACAAAATGTCCAAAACACTGTATGTATATTGTTTGTCAAAAAGGCTTAGGCTATAACTACTAGCAGCTGGCATTTATTCTTTATGCCTCTTCTTATAGGAATACTGACAAAGTTAAAGGTGTGTAAGAGGGAAAGTAGAATGAGGGGGATATCTAGAAGCTAAGTGATAGGAAGTACAGATACAGAAGAAGCTGTTTTGTCTGGAGAAGTAAAAACAAAAAAGGAACACGAGAGGGATCTGACTATTTGAAAAGCAGAAATTTGGAAGAGTTAGGAGGTAATGGAAGAAATGTTTGTTAAGAGCTTATTATCTAGTGAGGGAATGTCTACGATCTTCAGTTCTGTGTTGTTCTAGAGGCTGATGTGCCTGCTTAATGTAACTTACATCAACAACATTTAAAAATGTCCCAAATTATAATTTCTTTGTTTTTGGGATGGAGTTTCGCTCTTGTTACCCAGGTTGGAGTAACAAGAGCGAGGAGTGAACTCGGCTCACCGCAACCTCCGCCTCCTGGGTTCAGGCAATTCTCCTGCCTCAGCCTCCTGAGTAGCTGGGATTACAGGCATATGCCACCACGCCCAGCTAATTTTTTGTATTTTAGTAGAGACGGGGTTTCACCATGTTGACCAGGATGGTCTCGATCTCTTGACCTTGTGATCCACCCACCTTGGCCTCCCAAAGTGCTGGGATTACAGGCTTGAGCCACTGTGCCCGGCCACCCAAATTATAATTTCTAAGAATAAAAATCATCTACAATGAAATAAGCCTTCTTATGAAGTAGAAGGTTTACAAGTGAGAGGGGCCTCAGGAATCATCTGATTTAATCTTTTCATGTTATAGACAAGAAAATAAGAAGCGCAGAGGGTTAAATGATTTGCCTATACAACTAATAATGAGAAGGTAAATTGATTCCACATTTTTCTGACTCTAAATTTATTTTTATTTCTCCTACACTAGGCTGTAAGCTACATGAAATTTAACACACATAAAAAGATTTGAATTCTAAGGTTAGAGGGTTTCAACCTTGAGATTTTGATTTTACAAATGTGGAAAGGAGCAAGGCATATTTCACGTACTGGTGGTAAGGGGCAGTTTTTTGATAAATGGCCACGTTTGTCACAATTTCTACAGATAATGTTTTTGTTGGCTGAATAATATCGCTGGGTACATCTTCCACGTGATCGGTTATTAGCTATCTGGGCCTAAGAGAAAAAAAAAAATCAAGAATTAAAAAAAATGTTTCACTGCTGAATAAAAACCATCTACTACTCTTGCTAAAGACAACTATAAGTGAGTAAAGATATATCAAGCTTCAAGTCAGTGCATTACCTTGATAAAGCAAGAGAATTAATAGTTATATCTGTTCAACTTAGAACCTAGCCACAGGAGAACTTCATGATCTTTCTTATTCTCTTAAAAAGAGGTAGAAAAACATAAAAAGGAGGTGCCATAAAGGTACCACTAGTGCTTTTTGTCTGCCCTCCCGCCTGCTGAATGGGAGGCGTGCTTAAATTTTGAGTTAGGGAATGGCATTTTTATGACTTTGTCTTTTGTAAAGTTATAATAGCTATCAAATATATCCTTTCTTTTGAACAGCACAGGGTTACTGCCTACAAGACTAGGTGATAATTTCTATAAAAGAATGAGATAATTTCCTTCCACTGGAGTCCCTTTAAGATTCATTCATTCATTCATTCATTCATTCATAGTGACCCAATTCTAGCTGTCCCATATTCTAATGTAAAATCTAGGAACTTATAAGAGAATACCAGCAATGCATATCATATGGAATATCTAAAGAAGAACTGTAAATTCCAACCATGCTTTAGCTTGTTTGATGGAATTCCATCTTTAAAAAAGTTTTAGTCTTTTATTTGTTATTTTGCTGAACTGGCCAGGTAGACCACAAGTAAATACAATATCTAGCTATCTTCCAAAATCAATTTATAAAATTATTTTCTTTTTGTAGCATCTGCCACAATTAAGGCTAATAATTGACAAAGAAAAACACCTGCCACATCCTAAAAATAGACTAACCATTTCCTTACACCGAAGCAGCAGTTATTTCCGGTGTTGGTCTTTTTAGTGGTACCAGGCCATATGGGCTGAGAGGACTCACCACAGGAGAGCAGAAACAGAAAGGGAAAGGGGACTGGATGATTACAGCTACTGACTCATTCACAAAAATCAAGGCTGAACCAACTTTCTGAAGAGTTAAATCGCTCATATGCTAAAATCAAATATTTTCTTACAAGCCATTTAAGTTTGTTATAAAAGTTATAATAAATTATGAAGCAAGGGAAATTATTATTCTAAATTTTAAAAATAATTTGATTTTACCTCAATGTCTTTATCACTGATGAACCAGTTGATATCATCTCCTACAAAACAAATAAAATATTACTCAACCATAGCACTTTAAAGGACTTATAGATTGACAATAGATTATACAATTTGTAAGTACTCAAATTGGACCCCAAAGGTATAGTAAGAAATGGTGAATACATGAAATTCTGATTTTGGCTCTGTTATTAGTTGTGTGGCCCTGAACAAATACTTAACCTCTCTGAACCTCAGTTTCCTGACCTGTGAAATGGGTTAATAGTATTTGCCCTGTCTACCTGAAAAGTCCTATGAGAATAAATTGAAGTACGTGAAAATACATTGAAAAATATCAGACTACATACAAATATTAACAAAAAAAAAATCAGTGAAGGGCCCAAAAATCCAACAGCAGATGCAGAATGAATTCTTCATTTCTTTTATCTGACTAAAGCAGAGCTTTACTGAGGCAGTTGTCACAACCCTTCCGCACCTCCAGGAGGGTCCACAGGAGGGAGACCACTGACACTGGACACTGAGACATAACAAAAAAAATTGGGTAAATAAGATCCTTCTGTACTTTGACTCCCTAAACTACCCCATTTTGTTAAGCTGGTATATAACCCCTGACTTCTTTTTTTTGTTTGTTTTGGAGACAGGGTCTTGCTCTGCGCCCAGGCTGTAGTGGTACCATCTTGGCTCACTGCAACCTCTGCCTCCCAGGCTTAAGCAATCCTCCCACTTCAGCCTCCTGAGTAGCTGGGACTACAGGAATGTGCCTCCATGTTTGGCTAATTTTTGTAATTTTTTTGAAAGAGACAGGGTTTTACCATGTCACCCAGGCTGGTCTTGAACTCCTGAGCTCAAGCAATCCACCCACTTCAGTCTCCCAAAGTGCTCACATTACAGGGGTATGCCACAGCAAGAGGCATAACCCCTTACTTCTATAACCCGGTAAACTCTTCAGTTACCGATTATTGAGTGCTCCTGAATAAACTTTGTCTTTTCTCCAGTTAACCTGTCCAGTATCAGTTAACTTGCAGGCCCCCAATTTGAATTCAACTTAGTAGAGGACAATCTTTTCTACCAAATATCAGTATTAAAGTGTGTCCACTAGCTTTTCATTCTACATGACATACAGTATAATGTTAAAAAAAATTAGACTCTGAATAATGTCTCACTAATAGGGTTAGGTTCTTAGCATTGTGTTTTATAACATCAAAAACAGCAAAATAAAGGAACAAAAAGGGAGGCCAAATATCCAGAAACCACTGATTAATCTAAAAATACAACTGTAAAAACCTAGTGGAGAAAATAAACCCCACATTTTTTGTATCAGCTGTTTTCTTTGCACGAATGTGCAAATGGCTGCTATTCCTTTGGTCCACCCCTGGCCGAGGGGGAAGGGACCTATGACTAATGTAGAAGCTAAAGTGTTGACAAAAGGACTGAAAGATCTTTTTCTCCCTTTAAAGCTAAGATTTCCTCTCTCCTCCTACCTTACTACTTTCCTCTATCTCAAAAACACAAATCAAGCTTGACTTGTTTCTTTGAAAAACTTTTGAAGAGACATGAGGTAATCTACATTTTCCCAGGCCTACCAGGAATAAGTGTCTAGAGATATATTTTAAAATAAAATACTTTTACTAAGAAAACCATGAGGCTACTTTACAAAAAGACCAATCCATAGGTATGAAGAGATGCAGTGCTGATGATTATTTTCTTTGTAAAATTTGAAGCCTGTATCCATGTACTGAGAGTGGAGAATACATGAAATAGCAGCAGCTTCTATTCCTTCATCAACCAACCACACTATTATTCTTTATTCAAAGAATCCATGTATGGAGCATGCTTTGCTATTAACTTTCAAAGCTGCTTTTTGTATCTCAATGTCTTTCATCATTAAAATTCAAAATGAGGCTGGGAGCAGTGGCTCACGCCTATAATCCCAGCACTTTGGGAGGCCGAGGCAGGTGGATCACAAGGTCAAGAGATCGAGACCATCCTGGTCAACAAGGTGAAACACCGTCTGTACTAAAAATACAAAAATTAGCTGGGCATGGTGGTGCGCGCCTGTAGCCCCAGCTACTCGGGAGGCTGAGGCAGGAGAATTGCTTGAACCCAGGAGGCGGAGGTTGCCATGAGCCGAGATCGCGCCATTGCACTCCAGCCTGTGTAACGAGAGCAAAACTCTGCCTCAAAAAAAATAAATAAATAAAATAAAAATGACCACTTGAAATTCTGTTAACGATTAAGACTGACTTAAAATTGTTCTTAAAAAATGAAATATAAAATCAATGAAATGTAAAATGGCAACTGTAATCACTCTCTAAACTTACGCATAAACAGAAAACAGTGAAAAAGGAAGTTTGAGAGAGGGAGATCAACTCCATTCAGATTGTTTTAACATTTCTGTGGAATTCAACAATATTCTTATATACAGTTGTCCCTCAGTATATATGAGGGATTCGTTCCAAAACTACCCTGGTAGAACCAAATCCTTGCACAGTCAAGTTCAAGTGAGCCCTGTGGAACCTGCACATACAAAAAGTTGGCCCTCTGTACATGTGGGTTTCACAGCCTGTGAAAACTGTATTTTCAATCCATTTTTGGTTGAGAAAAAGCTGCTTATAGGCAGACCTATGCAGTTCGGACCTGTGTTGTTCAAGGGTCAACTGTACTAACAACTCCTCAAAACATTATAGCATATTCTTACTACAGAAAATTCATCAACAAGTATACAAACTAAGTTTCAACAATAGATAAAATCAGGATTTCTCAAGTGGTATATGAAGCAAAGACATCACCAGGAACACATAAGGCAATTCTCGGCCCTGTCACAACTCTAAGGTTCCAGTTTTGATTTGAACCTAGTAATCACAGCAGCTTCCTGCCTTTGATCTTTACCTATTCTGTTTGTGTCAAACTCCAAATCTCACCCCAAGGAAAGCTTTGTCCGGGACAACTCCTCAGAACTTCCACAAACAGCAAATTTCCCAATTTATTAAATTGTGGGTATGGTGCTTGACAGAAATGTGGCTTCTAGTGTTAACTCTGCTGCTAACTTATTGTGCGGTGTTGGGCAGGATGCTTAAGCTCTCTTAGTCTGTATGACAATGGGTTGGAATAAATGGCATCCATGGTGGCACCTTCTAGTACTAAATTTCTGATTCTAATTTTCTCTCATTACTGGAATCAAATACATTGTCACGTAGTCTAACTTACCTAAATTAAATCTTCCAGACCTTTGCAACTAACACAAGGCAATTCACCTTGTAGAGAACTTTCCATGTGTCCACCACTCAGTGCCATAGAATGCTAAATGGGACTGCCCTAAAGTGTAAAATTACGACTGTCCTAAGAATGCTCTATCATCAACCCATAGCTGCTTTATAAGATTGTTCTTGTTGATAACTGTTCAAATTTCAGAGCTGTGATCAAAGCAGTAGCTGATAATTCTTTCTTTGTATTAAATCGACTCCGTTTAACAAACATCTACTGGAAATTATAATGAGCCAGGTGCTAGGGGTAAAGAAAGATGAGAAGAGCTTATAGCCTAGTAGAAGACAAGGTGACAAATGAAAGGAAAAAGAAGGCGTAAGAGAAGGCCAAACAAATGCTATGGTAAATTTTAAAGAATGGATAATACTTTAATTTTAGGGAGAGAAGGAGAAAAGTTACAGAAAGCAGGGCCATAGAGTAAACTAATGAGGAATAATTTGCATATAATAAAATATACCCATGTAAAAATACAGGATTCAATCTGACAAATGTATACACCTGGGTAATCACTATTAAAATAAAATGCAGAACATTTCTATCATCCCAAAATGTTACTTTGTGCACATTTGTAGTCAACCCCCAAACTAGGGCAACCCCTGATTTGCTTTCTCTCACGATAGATTTGTTTTGCCTGTTCTATGACTTCACATAAATGGAATTATACATTATGTACCATTTTGTGTCTGTCTCATTATTGTTGCTGGGTTAGCAATCTATTCATTTTTAAATTACTGAGCAGAATTTTATTGTATGGACCTAACAATTTGTTTAGCTATTCATCTGTTGATGATATTGATATAGCTTAAATATATGTCCTGCCCAAATCTTACGTTGAATTGTAATTCCCAATGTAGGAGGTTGGGCCTGGTCAGAGGTGACTTGGGTCATGGTGGTGACATATAACCTAATAGTATATTTTTTATAATTTTCCCCTTATTTGTGCAACTATTCTGCTATCTTTATTATACATACATACAATTAATGCATGGCAATTATGAGAAACATCTTTATATGTATATGGTGATTCAGGGTCTATAAACTGCTTTAAATATGCATTTAGTCTTCAGAGTAACCCTGTCCATTATGCTTACATTATTGTTCACTTTTTTTTATGTGTATGCTTTCCAACATAATGCAAGAAAGGGCAACTTGTATTTTGTGGGAGAGGCAGTGGTAATTTAGCTATTTACCAATATGACTGCATTCACATTTCAAATGTTCTGGGGAAGAATTTGGGCTAGATTGCTGAAAGACAGAAGCCACTTTACCCTATGCTTTAGTAATACTTAATCTGCTTACATTTGGCTGTGTTAGAACAGCTGAAGATCATAGTTCCTTTACTAAGAGAGTAGCTATAGATAATTACAGAGCTGGTTATCATTACCTTTAGGGAAAATCTGACAGAGGTAGGAGGTAGTAAAATGTATTTCCAAAGATCACCAAAGATGAGACAGAAGGCTCAGTTCAGCATATCCAGTTGGTTATCTATAATGCATGTGTCAGGGACTAAGAATCATTTCCTTAGCCTAATTTCTATATAGCTCCTTCTTATAAGGAGGTCACAGATGCTGTACATTTTCCAGATATCCTAATTTGTTACATCTAAACTTGTGAAACTCATAATTATATTTCACCAAAACACAGGTATGATTCAGCATACAACGAACTAGAACTTAATATTCCACTAATCAGTGGTGAATTTGCCACTAGTGGTTATTTAAGAATGTAAATGCAACTTTCCTTAAAGAGTAAAAAGTTTCCATTTAATAGTGTCAAG